TCTGAGTGTGATTATTACAAGCAGGTACGAAACGCAGACCCTTTATTGCGAGCCTGAAAAAACGAACTTTGGGGTCTCGAACCGTTTAATGTTAGAGTCAAAATAATTTTGCTCCTCCCCCCCCCCCCCCCCCCCCCCCCCCCCCATTACAATGCACGTCAACTGCAAAATCAAAAAGAGGGCCCTACGCTGCTTTGATATCCTGTTCTAAACACATGCTTTTCTCGCTGTATTTTTAGCAGATCTCTATGCTTGGGATGATTTTCGTCAGAAGGTATCCCGTATCGCACGGGAATTTCGTTTTTATAAACCTGATGAGTTTTCTTAGGCCATGCTATGTTCCGAATAAATAGAAAATCAAAAACGTATCATTATGCAAACGATTCTAACTGCTGCAGGCGGCATACTCCAGTCATTCCGTGTGTGTTCGTCATGCGTTCGTCGTCTGGAACAGGCACCTCGAGACATCTCGAGGACCGGAAGTTGCCGTCGCAAATATTGCAGAAATAGCCCCTTTTCGGTAAACCTCTGTCGTTGTAAGTGGGAAATACAGAATTCCTATATCTACTATTTTTAGATGTTTACATGCTACGTTTGATTTTTGAGCGATAGTTTTTTCGGAGCGAAATTTAGTTTCATGTATTTGTTTATTATAACGCCCCTGGCAACGGTTTGCTTGTAGCAGGGACGTCCTACTTATGGTATTAATAGACCCTTTTCAAAAGTCAGAGTCACCTTGTGGCAGTCCCAAAAGCTTCAATAATGCCGGTCCAATGGCCGTGATAGGAGGTCATGCTCGGCTAAATCACGCACCATCGATTTCGTGAATCGAAGGGGACGTCAGAGGACCAACATCTTTTCCCCTTTCTGCTTTATGCTCTCGAAAACGGTCGCTTTCTCTGGTATGGAGAATAGACCGATCTCACTAAGGGTTTCACGCATGCGTAACGTCGCCATACATCACTGTAGTTCATAGGAGGCAGGCGCCAGTTCACGAGGCAGCTCGTGCCGCCTCGTGTTCTGCTCGCGCAGGCCTTTAGCGGGGTTGTTGCGCGTGCAGAAAAACTACATCTCCCACGATGCATGGCGGCAGCGGTGGCGTAATAAAACTGGCTTTCCTTTCCTGCACGGCACTTGACCCGACACCTCAAGTTATCGGATCTCGGGGAATAGCGGCGCGGCGGCACGTGGAAAACAGACGCGCAACTCTGGCTCCCGTAGGGAGCCTATTGGGGAGGAGATAGAACAGTCACGCCTCTGGCGGCACGCTTCAGCTGTGGGGACAACAAACCGAATTTTTTTGTTTATTTTTGATCAGCGATATCGATGGTGAGGATTCGAAAGCCGCTCCTCATGCAACCAAGCACTGGTAAGAGTGAAGCGCTCGTGTCCAGACCGTGCATGGCGAGGTTCAATTTCTTTGTTTTTCTGTGTCAGTAAACACCGGGCCCAGGGCCGGTTTGCTCATCTTGCGGCTGCGGTCGCGGCTGCGGCCAAGAGGGATTTTTACGTCACGTGACCAGCTCCATGGGGACAAGAAGTACCTAGCGTCCCTGCCTAATGGCGGAGTGAACCGCATCGCTTCAAGTACAAAAGCCTAATTTCGCTCGCAGAAAGTGATTGCAGGGACTTTCATCTGGAGTCCAATTGACCTCCCCTTTATACTGTAGGAGCGGCAGGTAAAGTTACGGCCAGGGAGGGTAAATAGGAGCCAAAATAAAGAAGAAACCACAGGAGATAAAAGCGGTAGCAGTATATTTATCTACCTCCGCCGGCGACGGCGCCTCGCGCGTTCAGCTATGGTCGAGAGGTTAAGCGCCGGTACTTGTCGTCGGGGCGTAAAAGCTCCGGCTTCCAATCGCACTAGGGACTTCTTTTTTCTTTTTGTATTTTGCGCGTGTCTTACTTTTTAACTGTGATCCTTTTTAGGAAATCATCCACTTGCACTACTGCGCCTTACACGGTTTTTACTGTTAGTCCCACCTGTTCAATCGCAACACCGGGAAGAAAAAGAAAGGATCAAGGCAAGTTAACGCGCTAATACCAAAAAAAAAAAAAAAAATTAGTCGTTAGTTGTTTATACAGCAGGAGTTTAGTCTGCCAGAACATGGCGACATTGTTACCCACTGTAGATGAGTACAGCCGCTAGCCTGGGGTCTTTAACGTGCACCACGCAGTAGTGATACACGACCGCACGCCGGTACGATGCTCATCCAGATCGAAACGGGCAGGGTGGGGCTCGAACCCAGGATCCCTGGGTTCTGCAGCGCGAGCTTTCGCTCCACGCGCGTCGAGCTGGCGGAGGGACGGTGGCGCGTGATTTGCGCCACCGTTACAAAGAGATTGTGCCTCAAATATACATACATACATACATACGTCCCTCGCGCAAATCACGAGCAGCATCATTCGAGTTCGTGTATATCGTTGGAACGCCCGGCGAAAATGCCGGGAGCGCAGGTAAGGCAATTTCCTCTCAGTGCCCTGTATTAGCTGGTTCCTCCTGAGCGTTTTTGAAAGTATTGTTGTTTTCTTTCTCGTCCCGACGGGTCCTTCCATCGGGCTCGGCTCAGGTAACTCGCAACATTGCCCGGCGCAGCAGCCTATCTTCCAGATCACACCTCTCGAGCCCGAGTAAGTACTCTTTGCTAACGTTCGATACTCCCTCGCTCTTTCCATTGAGGTTTAAACGAGCATTTGTGCAGCATCTGCAAACTATCGTTCGGCTCATTGCCACAACGATCTTGTCAGTCTGACCTTTGTAGGCAGGAATTGTTACAGGAAACGAAATTGAGTGAGCACTTTTTCAATGAACGCGCCGAGAAACTCTCAGAAAGGAGGAGACGAGAGCCCGCGGGGACTTCAGAATGTCGAGCTCTTCCTCGAATAATTGGTGTGTAGACCCAAAGCTAGCAGCTCTTGTCTCCACTGCACTCGTCGAACGCGTTAAAACGCGGAACGCCGGCGCCCGGCGTTTGGCTCTCGCGTTCGAAAGCGTTCGACCAGTGCAATGGATACAAGAGCGGCTAGATTTGGGTCTACACACTAAACGAAAATATACCCAGATGGGAGTACATCGCTTGTCCTCTAGCGCATTCCCTTATGGGAGGTTTTTACGGCCGTATTCATAAACGGGCCTCGACTCGACACTCCACCTCGACTCACTGGAGTGGAGGAAAGCAGCTCGCCTCCACTCGAGGAGCCATCGGGCTTCAGTGTTGCCACACGGATAAAAAAAAAGTCAGCAGATCGGTCTCCAAAAAGTCAGTAGATTTGAACAAAAATCAGTAGATTCTACGAAATCTGTGTTTTGCCATGTTTTGCCATTTTCATTAAACCATTTTTCGAAGAAATACTATAGAACAACAAATGAAATACTACAGAGCAACAAACATGGTAATAAACACAAATAAAATATGAAAAAAAACAAGACCAGTTCTCGAGTAATTCTTTATGAAAAACAAAGTAAAATGGCACCGTGAATATATTTATTTATATATTTTTTATCAGCATTGACTAGTGTTGCGATTTCGAGGATTATTCGTTGAAATCGAGACTGAGCCACTTTTGGGATCAACAGATGAGGGCGACGGTCAGACATCCACCTGTCCCTATTATTGAAACGAAAATAAAACAAGACGTTCCAGCAAGTGCGCGCGTGCATGTCCATTTTATGTCCTCTGCAAGCTGCCATCCTTCCTTTCTGGGCTGTGGAACGTTTTTGACGCAACGCTGTCGGCGCGGAGCACTGTCGAGGATACACGTCGTCTGCTACGGGCTTATTTCTTTTTCGCCTGACTCAAAGCTTGCGTTCGAACATGGAGAAACTTAATTCGTTAGCTTTTTAAGTTACCGAGGAATAACATTATATTATATTCTTGCCGAACCTACCAAATAAAAATTAAGAACCGAAATTTGGATGTCAATCCCTTGCATTCCTCCGGGCGAATGAATGAAAATGGCGGACCTCCCCGCTCAGCTGGGAGCAGCCGAGATTTCACGCGCATGCGCTCACGCCTCTCTCTCTGCGCCACAGGCTGATTGGCTCACTCGGAAATAGACGTTACGGTTGCGAGATCATAGGCTGGCCAAACTCTTCCATATATGGCTCTGGCCCGGATGTCACCGTCGAACCCAACGTTGGTCGAACCTGCTCTGGATGAATAGATATGAATATACGGTTAAGTCGCTCGAATAGGTTGGGTTTCTGGGCCGTCTAGCCAGTGCTTCGTTTTTAATTCTGGGAGAATACGAGTTTCCTTTGGTGGGCGACCCTGGGAACTGAAGGGGCCAAATAATAAATTTTTAATATGTTTACTAAAAGAAAGTCAGTAGATTTTCTTCTTTTTCAGTGAATCAGTAGACCCGGAACGAAATCAGTAGATCTACTGATAAATCAGTAGACCTGGCAACACTGGGCTTCACAGACGCGCCTCGGCGTTTCCTCGGCTGAGGAGCTCCTCGAGAACACTTCCCCCACTCGAGGAAACTCGAGGAGACGTGAAAGGCGTCTGGTTACGAGGTTGTAGTAAAAAACGAAGTTGAAAACAATATTGTGGTGTGAATTATGAGCATATTAGTTCATTTTATTTGAAGGGACACATTTTACTAACATTGAATTGGGAGTCTGAAAGATTTCTGCTTCGCAGCGCGCATGTTTTATGCGTTGCGGCCGGTTTTCGGACAAACAGCCACAAGCGTTCTCCAGTCTGGCAACGGTGGTGGCCGCTCTCCAGCTTTTGCGTCGTAGAGGCAGCTGTAGCTCGCTACCGTCGTTCGTCTCTGCGTCTCGCCCGTTCTTCGCCGTCTCACCTCGTCTCACCGCTTATCTGCTTCGCTGTCACCGCCTAGAACGAGCATTTTCACCCTTCCTCTTTCTTCAGAGTCCTACTAGAGTGCCTTGCCCAAGAACGATGTCGTTCAACGAAGGTGACAAGAAGGGGCGAGTGGTTCCACGAAGGAGGGGAGCTTCTTCGTCGTTCTACTAACAACTCCCCGAAAGAAGCTAAAATTGACGCGTAGAAGAGTCTGCACCAAGTATAAGCGCCAGCCGCATGTCCGCCCACGAGTGTTGGGACAACGGTAAACCCAAGTGGAAGAAAACAGACTCCGAGAAGAATCGGGGCATCCACGCAACAGGTGTGTAAGCAATTTTTATATTTGGGCAGAATAACGCAACGGGTTCGCAAAATCACATGACAGGACGTATGTACTAAATAACTCTGGAAGCGACTTTGCTGTGGCCACCTGCAGCTAGTCAAGCACGTTACTGTCGAGGCCGTAGGTGGGCAGTCACGGTGAATTGGCGCTATCTTTGGTGATTCTTGTGCCGACTTGGACAACTTTGCGTGTTGTGCTATATCCAAGCGAAAATTACGCTGCGAACATTCTGGTTGCGCCACACTACCTTAGCCTCCGGCCCCTTTCTTGAGATTAGAGAGGCAACCTGGACGTATAAAAAAAAAAAACAAAAAAAAACGCGACGCACGAAACTGACACTAGTGCACGTAGAAGTTACGCTAAGTAGGAGTTTCCACTATGTCAATTGGACCTAGCACCTCATCTCCTTGTGTGCTAATCTTTTGAAGAAAAAAAAAATCTTGTGCAGGTTTAATTGACTACCAGCTCTCATTTCTTAATTTTAACCTCCGAAGAAATGCCATTATGCGTACATGAGATGTGCTGGAGTCCAGTTGTTGACAGATGCCTTTTTTCAGGTGTCCATGTTAGTGTGCAACCATTGTCATTTATTTCCTAGGTTAACCAGCGCATTGTACTGGCATGATTAAGCTGGCACAAATTTCATATGGGTAGAAGTATACATTATTGATTTGAAAAGTTGTGTCTACAGTACAACTGTTGTCGATGATCACATTAAGCTACTCCAGTATTTTCCATGCATATCAAGAAACAGCACAGGTATGACATCACTTGTTTCGCATTTATTTCTTGCAGTTAAGTGTCGAACAACAAATTGTACCGCATAAGTTGTAGTACGATTTGTTTTTCTTTCTGCGTTGTGCTTTGTACATCTCAACTCATGGATGCTGTCACAGGATATTCTTTGGCCTTTCATTGCAGGAGGGGGCACTGGTATCACACCCGCTGAACAATGGGCCCGTCCCTCCATCTTGTGGGGGCACTGGTGTCCCACATGGCAATGCGGCTGCCAAGCCCGTACAACAGTGGCAGCGCCCGCGCTGGTTGGCCGGTGCTCTCAATGCTGCCAGCCGCCTTTCCCGAAGCCACAGTGGACGAGCATGACGACTGGCATGATGCCTGGTAAAAGTTTTCGATTGCATTTGCTACGTACCCATGGAGGTTGGTTGCTACTTGATCACACAGCTTCCAATGTTTATTTATAAAAAAATCTGTCTATGCTCTTCCGTTTATTATTTCGATTTTGGCATACTGTCTCGTAGGAACGCTAAAAACTGTGACAATGAGCCACATTTTCATGAATGCGACTTATTAGGGGTGCCACGTAGGAACACGGTAAATTCCTTGGGTCTGGATAATGACATGCTTATTGACAAATACACCACACGTGTGCCCGAGGGCCAACAAGGTCTGAGATAACAGCGCTGTTTCTTTTGACGGTATCACCATTTGGACTAAGATATTGAGGTGTGCTAGTTGGATATGCATGATGTAAAAATTAAATAGCACAAAGGTTAGACAAAGGACAGATCATGTAGATAGGACAAGCGCTAGCGCTTGTCCTGTCTACAAGTTCTGTCCTTTGTCTAACCTTTGCACTATTTAATTTTTACATCACCATTTGGAGTCTGCCCTGCCGCTACTGACAGTATCACGGAAAGGAAAGGGTCAGAACAAGGAAGGAAAACTTTCATGTTTACCAACAGTTGGCATTTAACATTTCTGTAATGGGGTTGTTGTAACAGTTTCTACCAGTTCTCCGGTGTCTTCACCGTGCCTGTAACACTCGGCGTCAATGTGTTGTGCTTGCCTAGATTCACCTGCCTCACCGCTGCTGGACTGGGGTGGCATCATGGAGGTTGCGGTTGCTGCGTCACCAACCAAGCCCCAGCTCCTCTACCTCCTCAGCCGCCACGTGTGATTGTCCGAGTGAAGACAACTAAAGGTTGCACCGACTGGAGGAGCTACACCTGCTGCAGGTGGAGCTACATCAGTGTCAGGTTGCCTATTAACAGACGCAGGCCCAGGTCGAGCTTGAGCTACTTCAGCTCAACAAACTAATCACGCTGCAACAACTGCTTGTTCTCGGGGTCCAGCCACAACAGTAGGCTGATTTATTCGATTTGTTTCATCTTCCTCTTTAGTAATTACCATTCTCTTTTGTGTTTAAGAATGCTTTTTTAAGGTCTGTAACTTGCTTCATTTTATCTCTGACCTGAAGTTGTTACAAGTATTGACCGTATCTCGTTTGTTAAAGCCTAGCATTTTTTTAACTTGTTTCTCGATTTGCTATTTGTAGTGAACATTTTATGCAAAAGGGCAGTTACGTCAGCTTTAAATCTATTCCTTTGAAACTTAGAAAGTAACAGAGTATTTTTTTCTTACTAATTACATTGTTTGTATGTTTAGACAACGGGAAGTTAGTCAGCCCCAGTGAGCAACTTATCTCCACTGTAGACGAGATATTCAGCCAGTGTCGTACCACAGCTATCCTGGGGTCTTTAACTTAAATCACAGTAGTGATACACAACTGCATGCTGTTACAATGTTCATCCACATCGATACAGGCAGAAGCAGAGATTGAACTCAAGATTCCTATGTTCAGCTGTGCGAGCTTTCACTCCACGTGCTCCAAGCTGTGATCCGTTAATGCAGTCGACCACCGATCCCCTTGATGGATATTAGGAATCTGTTTGAATGTACAGCCAGGTGTTTCCTAAACATTGCCACTATTATTTATGTAATGTCTCTTTTATTAGTGTGTAGTCCATGTGCAGCCTCGTTCATTAAATGCTGTTGTCACTGAGTTTTGCCATAGTTTTCATTAAGACGTCTCATTTCCTGTCCAGGGGTTTGTGCCTCGCAATCCTCTGTGAACTTGTACCGCCTACCAGAGTAAAGTCGACACCACATTGACGAGGCTTGCCCACTGCCTTTTCATTGCGGAGGTGGCGCCGTGTCACAGAGCTTTTGGTTGCTTGTCCAAAGATCCCCAGGTGGTCAAAATTAACCCTCAGTTCTCTGCTGGGGCGTGCCAGATGCCTGTCGTTGGTTTGGCACGTAAAACCCCCAAATTTGACTTCACTGCCTTTTCACTGCACACTACTACAGTGCCGACGTAGCAATTGGGCCCCAAGTTTGCAGCTGGCCACACAGTGATACAGTAATTGAGCAGCGGTTCCAGCTAAACCCTGGTACGGTGCTCACCTCATTCATGCTCGCATTCAGTAATATAGTGTGATGCCATCAGTTTGAGTGCATGGGCTCCGCATGCTTGTGTAAGTAACTGTTAGGTAGGACACCCTTGACTGCCTAACATCCGAAGGAGTCCTCACAAGGAATTGCTGCGCTATTGTAATATTTATTCTAACCGAAAACTTTTCATATGGGGTCACAGCTGCAAGATGTCATTTCAGACATTCTCATGTATAAGTTTATTTCGAACAAATGTGCACTGAACAGCTCGCTGAAAAGTCTCGAGTCTGAACACTGCAAAATTTTGAGTTATTTTAATGTAATTACCTGAAGCTTCTCACTTTCTTTGTATCCTGCTTTGTGTGATGACAAATATTGAATTGTTCTCGAGCAAAAAGTTTCCACAACAAAGAGGGCAAGTTGGTCTTGCTTCTTTCGGAGGATTGATAAAACAGCAACCACCAGCATAGTTTCAAACACTGTCGTCCAGCGGGAACCTGAGTAGAACAAAGACATTGCAACAATTTGTGGTGACCAACTAGCTGAGAAACCGGCAAATTTGTTTCGGTTCAAATTAGAAAGTGTGTGGCCATAGTATAAGGTTGATTTGTTTCTGGCCCGATTGCATTTTGAGCTTTAACATGGCCAGTGACTTGATTCTTCGGTGACTTAAGCTAAAAAGGACATGCTCTGCATTCAGTTCCTACTGGAAACACCACACAACGAGTTGAGCCCGCACCCATGCCCCGTTGAATGTGTCCACGTGGTCTGGTGTCGATGGGAGATGAGACTGCCTTCAGCATCGTCAGTGGGGGGTGGGACTGGTAGAGCGGAAAGTGGCTCGTTCTGCAGGTGGGCCAAGTTTTGCAGTGCAAGTCCAGTGATCATCACAGCTGATCATTCAGGCTTGTGCTGCTAGCACATGTCGAGGCACGGAAAGTGCCTAGGCCCGCTGCACTGAGTTCCTAGTCCAGAAGTGGGCCTTTTGGTACCTACATAAGACAAAAATGAAGAACAATACAGCACAATTATTGTTTGAATAGAAAATGTAGGACTAGTTTGTGGAGTAGTGTATGTCCGATTAATGCTCGGACTACTGTTTTCGATAGAAAGTGCTGTGTATGATAACACTCTTCTTCAGATGTACATACACAGCTTTTTGTCGTGAGTGGATAATGTCCCTTCGCACACATCTTAAGCTTCAGAAAGTCTCTTTTAGATGGCTGCAGGCATCAGTCCGGTTCAGGTGGTATGCTGTACGATATGGACTTTGGTACTAGTTGTATTTTCAGTACACTCTGCTGCTTGCCGAAGGATGTCAATCTGCGAATGGTGTGGTATCGGCGCATGTTTCCTACATTCTTGTATATTTCTGTGGACTCGTAAGCCACGGTCTCATTTAAGCAACAAATGCCAAGAACCAACCTCAATAAACAACAAATGCTATTGAGCAGTGCGTGTTCGCCGTGCAGTTTGGTTTACACGACACAAGCACATGCAGACACAAAAAGTGTTTACATATGGAACTGTTGTGGTTACCAATTGCACAGACAACTTAGTGAATGCCACCAAATGAATGCTTTCATGTGTATGTAGAAAGTAAACATTCGCTCATCATTTTCAATTTTAATTTTATTTTATCTTAAGTTTTCATGTCTGAGAATCTGACGATCAAAAAGGTTCATCTGGGATGAGACTGTGTTGCAAGACACATCGTCTCATCCCTCATTCACTGGAAATGTGCTTTGGTCATGATCATTCTTGCAAGGAGGGTGCGCTCGGGCCGCTACTCCTGCTGATCACTACTCCTGCTGATCGAGAGTTTGCGCAGCCGAGATGTATCCTGAAACGAATAGTTCGCGCTTGCAGCAGTAGCGTAATTGTTGTACATTACAAAAAGCCGGGAAGCAAAAAAATAAAGTGAAACAAAGGGCAAATGAGCACAGATAAGTATAAACTGTGTGAATACGTTAAAATGGCAGAGCTACATTTCGAGCGGAAATGAATCGGCGTGATGAGATCACTATGGCGCATGCCATTTCCAGCGCACAGGAATTGGAACGCGTAGCCGGTTGCCTGCGGGCCACGTCCCAGCGAGTCGCGGGCCGCGTGCTTGAGACCCCTGTCCTATAGGAATGCAATGTTGTCCTGCGTTGTAGATCGCAGCTGAGATGATGTGGTGAGGGTCTCGGACAAATCGTCGACGGTTCATTCGTCGAATAGGCCGATTCGTCATAGGGCAATTCGCTGCACGAAAAATCGTTGCAGATGTTAACTGGATGCAGCTTTTTAAAAGCCAAAATATACTTTTTTCCCTGACATTTTAAAGCAAATACTGCACCATAGTAATCCCTAAAATCGCCGCAAGGTAATTTACCCCTATGTGCCCTTCCTTGTCGAAGAAAATAACTTGCCACTTTCACCGCTTTCACGGTGCCATGCGTAGATTTTTTTTTTTTGGGGGGGGGGGGGGGGGGGGGGGGGGGGGGCTGGCTGAGGAGGCTGGGATCTTTATGACCAGGGGAGGGAGGGCTGAAGCCCCAAAAGCCTCCTCCCTGTCCACGCCACTGCAGTGGGGGACGACCACTATGTCGCACACGTAACACTAAGGCGCGCGTTAAAGGGACACTGACAGGGTATTTATGCTCGCCGAGGTTTTTAGTTGTACGTGACATATGAGAGCTCAACTACCCAGAACAGAATTTGCGGCTTGAAATTCGGTTTCTTTCCGCCGGAAAACCGCCGATCAAGAACTGGCCGGTTCGAGTCTCGCTCACTCTCTTTTTCGCGGTCACGGGCCGTTTTGTAAGGTATCGATGCGACCACCAAATTTAATCAAAGTCGTGGGTCACTGAAGGCACACACTCAATATTAAAAATAGAAAAAAATTATGAAACCCATTTTTTGTGGCTTCTAAAAAGCTGTAAATACGTTGATTGAAAAAAAAAGTTCCACAGACAACCGGAAGCATTCTGTGCGTTTGTCGTTTCGCGTATCGTGGGACTCGCGGGGACGGCGATGGCAGCGGACGACGGACGTGGGACCTCTATTTCAGAACTGTCGTTCGCGGGTACCGGCAACTTCTGTCTACCGTTAAAAAAGAAATTTGGGACTGATCAAAAGAATTGGTATTCATGCCGTACGACACGCCCGACCACCAAGCCGATTTGCACGAAGACGTCGCCGAGCCGTCGCTCCCTTCTCGTGGCTAAAGACATCGCTCGCGCAAACGTCAAGCACGACGTGTCTACTTCGAGTTGAATATGCACGCGTACGATTTCTTTACTAGGTGCGAATGTCCCCAAAGCGTGGTGCTTCCCGTCTTCGACCCGGGAGTGCTTTTGCTAGAGAAAAATCGACAGCAAACTTTCCAACTTACAGTTTACCGGCTGGATTATTACTAAGAAAAGAGATCCACCACAAAAGAGTTGCCCCAGTAGCTCAGTGGGAAAGACGTCCGGTTCACATGCGGTAGGTCCGGGTTCGATCCCCCATGAAGCTATTTTTTTTTTTAAACATTTTCCGATGTTTACATATCTTTTTATTTTTTTTACAATCATCACTGAAGAAACAAACAAAAAAATAAACAAATGTTGTGGACGATACTTAGCTGAATTAAATGGTATGGGATTTCCGTTTTGACACCTGCGAACTCAATGTAATCGCTTTCCACAAAATGCAAGGAGCATATAAATCAGGTAGCGTCCGCTTTCCGAGGTGCCCGTAAATGTTCTACAGGAATTGCAGCCAGCCATTGGTCCCGATCCCGTTGATCTTTCGGAAACTCTGTCGCACAATGCCACTTTTTTTTGGATGCAGGACATGTGAGCCAGCTCTTCACGCAACATCTTGGGTGTATTCTTTTCGGAGCCGATCATGGAAATTCACCACGGGCACTCACTACTCATCTCCAACTCCTCAATGTACAAAACAACTCATCTTGGAGTACAGAACAACGAGCGGAACAAACATAACTGCAAAAGTATCGCACGGCGAGCAGTTCCCGCACGCCGCATGTCGTGTCGTCTGCTACAGAGAGGAGAAAAAAAAAAAGACAAAAACGCACGGTCGGGTGTAGCCACGTGACTTCCGCCACTCACTCTCTTCTCTCCACTGCACCGACCTCCGTCGGGTTTCGGTTTCGAGCAGTTGCGTCTTTTGGCTTTATTAAAAAAATACGCTACTCTGTTGCAAAATATTAATTGGGTAGTCCTCCGACACCATAATAA